GTGCCATTTGTTTTCACATGCGATGTTCAGAAGTGCCTCTAATTCGCGAAAATGCTTATGACGTCACCATGTCCTATGCATGTTGGAGCTATTTTTTACAATTTGGGGGTCAAAAATCAAGATAGAAAGTTGAAATTTGGTAAATCTAATGTTCTGATAGAGCTTTATGACATATATTCCGGTTTTTTGGAAATTCTCAAAATTTAGGATTTTATTAGCTGTTTTCCAAAAAATATAGTTTTTTTGAATTTTTAGGGGTGAAAAACGCCCTTTATGGAAAATCCGAGATAGCCATTTTAAAGAACTCGTTAAGCGGCGTCTTTTCATGTCCTTAATTTGCAATTTGCTTAAAACCTCGATTTTTGGCGATTTTTTAAACATTTACTATTTTTTGACTGAAAACGCCATGTAGTTACATCACTAAAATCGATATATCTCAAACATTTTTGAAAATTTTCTCTTAAAAATTGCACAGGAAACGTCAAATTGATGGGGGAGAAGGTATGCCAAGTTTCAAGTTGATAGCGCAAGCGGTTCATGAGTTATTCAAGAAAAACGGAGGGGGTCGGATCCGACCCCCTCCCCCCAGGCGGTCGCGGGTTAATGTGACCTTGGCACCCACAATAATGTATGTGGCAAACAACATTTCATATGTTGGAGCGTTTGCAACTATAAAAAGACTGGGAAATGTACGCTGACATGCGTCGAATCGCGATTCCGGCTTGATATGGTCTCGAGAGACAGGTCACAGGTCAAAGGTCATGAGTCAGGATCATCTCCCCGGCTCAGTTTGACCAAAAACACTGTTTTGAGCGCTCTTGTGAACAGTGATGTGAGCATACGCTCTAGATATAGGGCTGTGTGGAATCGGGCACTGTTGGCAGTGTAAAGTGGTTCTGTCTCATTTACAATTGGACCATGAGTCCGTAAATACAGTTTTTTTCTCTCTCTCTCTCTCTCTCTCTCTCTCTCTCTCTCTCTCTCTCTCTCTCTCTCTCTCTCTCTCTCTCTCTCTCTCTCTCTCTCTCTCTCTCTCTCTCTCTCTCTCTCTCTCTCTCCCTCTCTCTCATGACATTTATAGATAAGGTATAGAATTGATTAAACTCCGAGGACACTGAAATGTTCGTGGTGGTCGATCGCTTCTTGCGCGAGTTATTTGCGAATAACCCAGGGAAGGCCCGTTCGACCACCATCTCACCCCAAAGCGCCATGTTTAATGCACAAAAATGTGTGTGTATTTTCACTTCAAATGCGCAGGCAGCATGTTGATCGTCAATCTTGCCGCACCACCACGCAGTGTACGTATACAGCACCACGAGCTGTATGCGTCGCATTGTGCCTCACATCTTGCGCGTGCAATGTGATTATTTTGTGACTTTTACACTCCTTTCATCCACGTGCTGTCAACAACCCCATCATCATCCGAGCATCCGTCTCCTGCGGTCCCCGGCTCGGAACCGCCCAGAAGACTAGCGCTGCGACCGGCGCGTCTCAGTCTGAGCGTCACCCTGACCGGTTACATGAAGACGGTGTCTTCCTCGCGGGGGAATCAAAGTGGCGTCGGCGGCGGTACGAACTCAAACTCGCTGTCCTCGCGGACTGGCGGACCTCCTGAGCGAGCCAATCGCCGTGTTGTCCGAGTTTAACCCGCGCGGGGCTGGGGGGGGGGGTAAATTTTACCCCCCCTCGCGAATTTTTGCGATATCTCAAAAACGGCGGCGCGCAGCGCCGCCAAACTTTCAGTACCTTTTCTTACATCAATTTGACACCTTCCCTGAAAATTTGAGCGAAATCCGTCGGAAAATTTTTGAGAAATTGACGTTTTAGTGACGTCATGTTCGCCATTTTCGCCTCAAAAACGGCAAAAGTTCAAACGCCGCTAACATCTTCATTTTTAAAGTAATCAAGACGTAACAAAAAAGGTTATACGTAATTTTACTTTGTCTATCAAATGGCTATCTCGGTTTTTTGAAAATTTTGGATTTTGGCCTAAATTTTTTCAAAAAACTGATTTTTTTGGGAAAATCATTGTAAAATCCAAAATTTTGAGTCTATCAAAAAAACCGGAATATATGTCAGAGAAGTGGTCTATGTGCACCTACATACCAAATTTTAGAAGAATCGGTTCAAAAATGTGGGAGTTATTCAAAATTTTATGACGTCACGACACACAAAATTTTTGAAAAATGACTTTTTTGGAAGTTCTAGACCTCGTACGGAAACAAAAATAGCACCATTCGTTTCGCCGTGAAAAACTGCATCAGATAGACACCTTTTTAGGCCTTAACAACCAACTTCAAAATTTGACCTCACTTGACCTGACCTTGACCTGACCTCGACCTGAAATTCATCCAGAGGTGGTCCATATCACTTATTGAGTGTGCCTATTGAATTCTATGAGTAAAATGACCCATAAAACATGTGTCGTACACGCCCTTTTCTATATTTTGTTTTTTGGTGACCTGACCTGACCTGACCTGACCTTGACCTTGACCTCTGAATGATATTGTATGCAACTAATATTGTCTTGGTAGCCTAAGAACACGTTTTGGGCGATCAGTCTCAGTCCATGACTCCATTCTTCGGCAACTACGGTGCAAGGCCGATACTGTAGAAACTTGCAATTTGTACCCTTGACCTGACCTTGACCTTGACCTCAAACTTTAAATTAAGTACATGTTTCTAGTAGTTCGTGATGAGAGCTTTCGATTGGCGTTTGAATTTTCCAAATCGGACCATTAGTTCGGGAGATAACAGGGGGGGTAAAATTTACCCCCCCCCCCAGCCCCGCGCGTTCGGCTGGAGACCCCAGCCCCGCGCGGGTTAATGGGCTGTCGGCGCGCCCGGCAGCCGCTGTATATGACAAAGCCCGCACTGGCCGCTGGCAGGCGGGCCGAGCGGCCGGCTATTCTCAGCTCCGCCGCCGGTAAACGCTAGGCCAAGTGGCGTGGTCGTGTCGCGTCGGCCGGGGGCGCCCGCGCCCGCGCGCCAGTTGGAGCCGCCCTCTCGGCCCGGCCGCGCCGCCCGGCCGGCCGCCACGGCACGTGCAGGTGTCAGTGTGTGAACGTGCCGGATGGCCTCCTCCAAGGAGAAGCCGGCGCACGGTGAGCGCTGGCTGCTCACGCGCAAGACATGGCGCTACATGGCCGACGCCGGTCGTCGGCTCATCCCCGAGGGCTGGTCACCCGAGCACGGCGCCGCCGGTATCCATCAGATCGAGCAGAACTTCCAGTCCGTCTGCAAGAAGGAGAAGAGCTTCCTGCCCTGGCCCAAGAAGAAGCACGAGCACGAGGAGGAGGGTGCCGCAGCGGCCGCCGGCGATGGCGCGCGGACTGTCGAGCGGGCCGTGGACGCGCTGGACGTGGTGGACGCCAGCTCCAGCGTTCCGGAGACGCCGACCACGCTGGGTGCCGACAGCCTCACCGCTTCGGACGAGGAGGTGACCGTGATCGAGGACCCCGGCCTGGCGGCGTCGCCGATGTTCGCTCAGGCGGCGCCGTACGGGGCCAGCGCCGAGGCCTACCAGCGCTCGGCCGGGCTCCGCACCTTCTCTGCCGGCAGCCGCATCACGCCCGTCGGATTCGACGCCGAGGCGGCCGAGGAGCTGAAGCAGCGACTGCGGCAACGTCAGCAGCAGGACCGCGAGCGGCAGGAGCGCGAGCGAGAGGTCACCGTCGGCGAGGAGCTCGAGGCGCTGCTCGAGGACGGTACCAAGAAACTGGTACGCTGCGTGGGCACGCAGACCGAGGCGCGCCCTGACGACCCGCTGCCGCCGCTGCCTCCTGTCGAGACGGACAGCGGCAAGGGCACCGAGGCCGAGGTCAGCACGCCGGAGACGCCGCTCAGTCCGCTGTCGGTGATCGACTCGCGCTCCGAGCCGGACAGGGGCGCCACAGCGGTCACCCCCGGATTCACCAGTGTGGGAGTGTTCGGCGACCTCTCGTCGCACCCTGTGCCGCGCAAGGACTCTGTGACCCACGCCGGCGCGCCGCCCTCGGACGACGAGCAGCACAAGTTGCGCCATGTCGAGCATGGTGAGAAGGACGGCGCCAAAAAGGAGCTCGCAGAACAGCCGTCGCCAATGCTGGATCGGTTCGGCGACAAGCTGTCCCGCTACCTCAAAATGGCGCGCCGCGACTCGGTCACGCGAGACAAGGACAAAAAGGACCGCTTCAAGACGGTCAACTACGACAAAACGCTGCGCAACATCAAGTCGAAACGAATCAATCCCGACACTCTGGAGGACATGAGTGAGGAAGTCAAGCCACTGGAGCTGGACGAGCCTCCCAAGTCACTGCTCAGTGATCCACCAAAACGGGCCCGCGCACCTGCAAAGGTCGCTAAGCCGGCGCCAGTAGCAGCGGCGGCGGCGGCGGCCGCGCCGCCAGAGTCCCGGCATCATGACGCGAAGAAGAAGAAACGGCGTGGTATCCAAGTGGGCGAGCCGCTACCTCAGTACATTCTAGACTCGTTGCGCGGCGCGTTACACGGCTTCAAGCCGACGCGCAAACTGTCCAAGGCCGAGAGTGAGATATCTGCGAGCGCTGACGAGCGGTGCAGCGACCCGCTCAGCCCGCGTTATTCCATTACAGTCAGTGACGACCTGGGCACGCGCGACCTCACCCTCTCGGACATCGAGTCGTCCACAGTGGCGCCGTTCAGTCTGTACAGCAGCGCGCGGACTAGTCTGGACGTGACCTGTGACGCGGTGGACGATTTTCTGGCCGGCCGTGGCGCGTGCGGCGGTGACGTGCCGCCGCCGCTGCCGCCCAAGCCGGGCGTGGTGGCGATGCCGCCCAGCCAGCCGGTGGCGATCTCTGAGCCGCGCCGCGCCTCCTCCTCCGACCCACTGGTCGCCTCCTCCTCCCCCTCCAAACAGGGCTTCTTCGCCCGGCGGCTGTCGCACGCGCGCGCTCCCAGTGCCCAGGCGCAGCAGGCGCTGGCGCATCAGGCCGCCGCCGCCGGCCACCACGGCTCTAAACGTGGCTTCCTCTCCACAGTGATGCAGAAGACGGGCAAGGCGAGCAACCACGGCAGTCGCGTGGTGGCAAAGAAGCTGTGGAAGTCGCGCTCCAAGTCCCAGTCGCGCACCAGTCTCTCGTCCGCCTGTGTCTGGACACCTCAGGTGAGTGGACGGCTGGGGCCTCTTGGGATGGGGGAGTTTAGGGGAGGGGTAGTAGGGGTGCTCTGGTGCCAGTACCATGAGGCCATGATTATAACCTCCCTGTCTTGTTCGATCTGTCACAACAGCTCAGGAAGTCTATTTTGGCTGACGGTGGTGCTTGTGGCACGGAAAATATGTGCGTAAAATCAACAACTGTTGTTTGGAGCCCCAGGAAAGCAATGTTTGTCCAAATTAACTGTGATAGCCGCTCTCAATTCTACGAAAATGCGGCTTATTTTGGAGCCGTTTAGGTGGTCAAGCAGCATTCCAGCCATTATCTTGATTTCAAAACCTTGAAATGCCAGCATCTTGCCAATGCAAGTGGTGCCAAAACATGATTCTGATGCTGATATATCACAACCGTTAAAACTGTAATATAGTCGAGTGCACTGAGAAAACAGTGTCCCGATTTTCGGGCTCAGAGACCAGTTTTCGGGCTAATGTACCATATTCAAAACAGACAGCACATTTCGAGAATACTTTCTGAGCTAGCGCCACATGGGCTCATACGATCCCTTAAATCGGTATCATTGATCGCAGAAACAGAGCTCAGTCAGTACCCATTATCGGTGTCAAGCTCTAAAACTAGTGTCACTATGATACCAGTTTTCAGCCTGATCCCCATTTTCGAGCTCACCTGATTCCAGTTTGAGGGCTCAAATTGTGTGGTGAAGCCAATATTAGGGCTCACGTCATCGCTTTTCGGGGCTTTGGTAAAAGCTGGATTGCGTCAGCTGGCTGGCCAGCTGGCGACGCACGAAAGGTATTTAATTTTAGATATACCTAAGCGCGGTAGTAGGATGGACATAAATATTTCAAATGGCTTTAAATGAAAAATTGATTGGTAAATATTCATTCTTTTATATCTAGCATTGATATGTAAGAAGCTCTGCTAGCGCCACCATACGGCGCCAGCTGGCAAAAAATCCAGTTAATACCAGAGCCCGCTTTTCGTCCGATGCAGCCCCTCCTCCCCCCTCCCCCGTGTCCAGCAGCTGCGAATAAGACGAAGCCGCGGACAAACTTTTTTTTTTGCTCGGCCAGCCTAGCGCCAGTCTCGAGCGGTGGGACAGTTAACCGGCAATTTTGGCCGGGATGCAAAAGTTACGTTAAACCGGTTTATGTTAACCCGGGAGCAAATAACAACGTGGGAGCCTATCTTAGGTGTGGCAAAGCTAACGGATTACTTACTTGTTGCAGAGGTGCCCAAAGAAGGTACTGGAACCGAAAACACAACATTGGTTCATGTATTTATTAACATTCATACACACAGTCATACTTGTGCAAGGTGTCAGTGTTCGGTTGTGGGGTGTAATAGCCAGGGAAAAAGTTCTATGAACTGAAAAACCCGGCGCCTATTACTTCGCAACATGGTTGTGTATTCAACATGAACTGCAAGGAGTGCAGACGACATTGCCTGTGCTAACTTAACGTCTCACGGGCAGCGCCGCGCTCTGACACATTGGTCCCAGAAGCGGCGGCGTTTCTGACCGCAAATCGCCGGAGAGCCGGTCGACGCCGTTGAGGGGACTGAGCAGGCCGCTGCCAGCTCCACCTTCACGTCCGCGCGGCGCAGCTCGGTGTGCGGCGGCGGCTCATCGCGCGGGCCGCACCCGTCCGTCCGCTGCACGAGCCGCTTTTCGATCCGACAGCGCAACACCGGCACGCCATTGTGCTGGCTGAGCGGCGGCAGCGGCACGTAGGCAACAAAACAGTAGAAATCGATGGGCCTGGATCGGCGTTGCCAGCAACGCCGGCAGCGGCGCGGCGGGAGGCGCCAGTGCCGCCGTCGGGGACGTGTGCCCTTCGCTGCGCTCATTCGAGTTGGCCGGCCGGCCGCGCGGCGTAGTCCTTTTGACACGGTGCGAGAAGAGCCGGATGAAGGTGGACTTTTTATTGGCGTTGCTGGTGCTCACGCCGCCGGCGTCCAGTTTGGGCGGCAAGTCCGAGTACCAGGAGTCGGACAAGTCCCGCGCGAACGCCGCCAGCCGGTCGTCGTCACTGCTGGCGGCGGCCCGCCGACGGCGCTGCCTCAGAATCGGACGAGTCGGTGGTACTGAGCACCTCGCGGGACGGGTAGCTGGGAGTGGGCCGGCCGCGGCCCCTGCCAGGCCGCGCCACCTTCACCGGCGCAGCCGCCTTCAAACTGCCCTTGCTGGGCGGCGGGTTGGTCGGCGGAGGCGGCAGCGGTGCCTCGACGTCAGTCCGAGTCGCTGTCACTGGGCGGCCGCCGCGGAGACGGCTTCTGTTTGACCCGCAGCCGGCCTGGGCCGGCTCGGCGCCCTCGGCCGGCGGCGCGCGCCGTTTCGAGCGTTTCACCTTTTCACTGTTACTCTCGCCTGGTCCTCAGCGTCGAGCGGCTCGGCGCTGTTCGGTTTCATGTGGCCCATGCTGCTGGGAAACTCGGGTGGAGACAGCTTTCTGACTGGAGTGCCGTCGAAGATGGAGGAGACGGGGGTGCTCGCAGAGTCCTTGCCCAATGCCCATGATAGAGCCGAGGCTCCACTGGACGCCCAGCTTAATCGGGCTATCGCCGCCCTCCTTCTATGGTGGATTCTTCGGCCCCCTACAGCCACTAGGGCCATCATATACTCCCAGATGGCGGCACCTAGGGGATGAGGGGGGGGGGGGTGTCTGGGCCACTTGTCCACCTCGTGGCGTCGCCAGCGACGCCTGCGAGTCGGAGCAAATGATTATGGGGTCTTCCTCGAAGGACGGGTGCTTCAGGAGATGTTGCTTTGCCGTTTTGGGCGCCACCATCTCAGATCGGTAAATGGAGCAAATCCTCCCCGCCGCCTCCCGCAGTACCAATGTTGTACTGTCTGGGTGCTCGGTGAGGACCCCAGCGCCGCCTTCCTATTACTCCCCCGGTCGCAGACCCGTCGACCCAGGCCCACGTCGCACGCTGGGGGAGCGCTCCCAGTCACGCCTCCGCAGCACTCCTCCTCGCTGTCGCGGACGCCCCGATCGGCAGCAGGTCCAGGTGGACCGTGACGCCGTCTGTTGGCGTCTACGGGGGCAGTCTCGTGGATAAGCGCGCCTCGGCGGGCAGCGCCACTCCAGTGGTCCCACACCGCTCCCCCGCGCTCTCTCCAGCCGGTCACTGACTTCAGTCACGGTTGGGGGGGGGCTTCCGCCACGACGCGGCGGGTCCTCCGACGGGAGGGAGAGCGCCTTCGCCAGTAGGCGCGATGCCAGCGCATCCCTCCTCATCTCTCCATCGGCACGACGCCCGCCTCGGCCCTCACGGCGAGTCTTGGAGCATGGAAATCGGGCAGCCAGTGATGACTCATGCCACCATCAGCATCTCCGCCTCCAGGACGCCAAGATGTGTGGCCGCAGCCGCAGGCAGCCACGCCGACCCCGCTGCCCGCATGCCCAAGTAGTCTCGAATCGCTGACACCTCTCCTGAAACAAGAGTGGTGTCGTAAACTTAAACCCCTTGCTGGAGCCCGCCAGCCGCGACAACACCGCCACACCAATTTTTGTGACCCCGGAACTTCCGTCCCGAGCCTTATTTCACGGCACGATGCTACAGTGCGCTACACGTATTGTGGTATTCAGCTTCCATGGAAACATCAACTAATTTGGACGCTCAAACATGGGAGTCAGGAGTGGTTAAGGCCCAGAGCGTTCTGTCTGGTTTATAAAACCTTGGCCAGCAGATGTAAACGTGCTTTTTGTATAAGTGGCTTAATTTTGACGCAAAAGGGCACTAACCTTCGGCGCAAATAATGCAGAAATTTCAGCGCAAATTGCAAAATAGCTTGCGCCGAACTTCGGCGCATGACGGCTTCACGGGCGTCCGGCTACCATATGGATGTTTTCCAGTTTGGGCTGCAGGTTTTAGCTCTAGGTTTTAGACTGTAGGTTTTGGGTTGGGTTGGGCTGGGCTGGGCTGGGCTGGGCTGGGCTGGGCTGGGCTGGGCTGGGTTGGGCTGGGCTGGGCTGGTTGGGGTGGTTGGGTTGGGTTGGATTAGGTTAGGTAAGTTTAGGTTAGTTTAGTTTAGGATAGATATGAATACCTATTTTTTGTAAGTTGAATTATTTTTTTCATTTTGTAGCATCATATGCCTTCCATCTTTGAACTGCCATATTCAAGCACCAGAATAAGTATGGACTTGAACCTTTTCCAGTCTGGATGCCTGTATGGAAGTTGTGCAAAATCATGCAGTTGAAGGTATTGTAACCACAAATAAGAGCTCATGACTCAAGTCTCAACTTGTCCATAATTGGTTATCTTGATGTATACTTGTAGACCCTTCCTCTTACTTGGCACACAGGCATGGTGTCACAGTGTTCTAAAATTGGATTTCAATTGGGTGTCCCAATAAAAAAAAATCTGAAGACAAAATGAGATAGATTTAGTCTTTCCGCAAAACTGCATAATGCCATTTTTAACTCAGATTTTGTCAGAACCTTCACAGGATCTGAAATGAAATGATGTAGAGTAGATGCATCAACTGTCAAGTCATGCGTAACCTGGCAGCTGGCTGTTGAATCAAACTTTTGACATATTTTTTTAGCAAAGATGAAATAAAGCCACTTGTCATATTTTTAGGATGAAAACATTTTCCCCATCATGTGTGGTTATTCACCTAAAATTCTGAAACATGGAACACTGTCATACCAGCATTCCATCATGTCAACCAGCATTCCGCAGCATGTTAGCAGAAGCAGCAGCATGTTATAAGTATATGAAAGATCCAAATAGGTTGTAGGTTGGTAGGTATTGGTACTAAGTTTAACTTAATAGGTTAGTAGGCAAGGTTAGGATTAATTTTAGTTGAGCATCAAGATAACCATTACGAACAAGTAACAAAATCCTTACCTACCCTTGAAAGCATTGCTTCAATCACATCATCACGAAGAACCAGACAAAATTTTTGCACATTCTTACACTATTTGACATCCTGAATCCAGATATGATGCTTTCATGTGGCGCAAATACAAGAAAAACG